CTTTGGGGGGGGGGAGTTACATGTTCTTTATTAACTGCTTCATTCTTTCACTTAATTTTTTTTAAATGTTGCGTCACTAGAAGATGTTTCTATCTTCAAAGTGTTTACTGGACGACTTTGTAAAAACTGTTCATCTTCTATACATGTGTTAGGGCCTCTGTTTTATCGTCCCAAAACACCAGTTTTAAGACTAAAACCTAACCGCGTTATTGTTGTTTCTTCGCTGCTAGTTTCTGAACCACTGGTAGGAATAGCAATCTCCTGTCATCTTTGGTTCCGATGGTTGTGGCCATTCTTGATGTATTTTTAGTGTTTTGGTTATAGAAGAAAAGTTGCAGTAGTATGGTGGTGAGTTCATGGCGCCAGACGCACGAGATTTCAGGAATTGTACATCTATTAAAAGACTAGTTGTATAATGGCGAAGCTATGTTTGACTGATGTTTTATGTTTATTCCTGTCTGTTCATAATGCTTCTTGACTGTTTCCAACATCTGCATAAGATGTCGCTTGTGTCCCATTGTGTAGTATGGTGCTTTGTTATGCGGTGTTCCGCAGTGGTAGCTCTCTTCCACTCTGCCCAGACCAGCGAAGTGTTCACCGATCCGATTCTTTCATCGTATTCTGCCACCTCAGCATATGCTCAAGAATGACCATGCGTCAAAATATCCTGAAGAAATTTTAGTATGCCTCTGAAACAAGGAATATCGGGATCGGTGTTATGTGCAACTTAACGTAAATAAAATATCATAAAGGAATATGGAAACGTTGCAGCGAAAACGTTCTGGGGTTCTAAATACGCCCCCTGCCGTGACCTGTCCTATCAGGTACGTAGTCGTTTTCGTCTCTTCTTGACGAGTCCATCGATAGCGAGTTCCTGAACGGTTTGATATATAGCTTTACTATTCAAGCAGTCTTATAATTTTACGGTTGTTTCATGCTTTAATTGTCCATTTATATTATTGATTTTTATTTATTCTGCTGTGCTTTTCAGAAACTCCAGAACCTTCTCACTAACTATCGTCGGCCAAGCGTGGCTGTTGTTCTGTGCGTACGATGTTCGCCGTTTCTTATACTCGGTGAATACGTATTTAAAGTAGTTGCAATTTCACATTTCGCTTTGCCGGTGGCAAGTTGCCTACCCGTTCAAAGTTCCGAAGGTTTTACTATGAAATCGTGCTCGTGCATCTCCTTCGTTCGCAGCTGTCGACCCTCTGAAGGTCTGGCTGTGGCACGTGCAGATTAGGTGATAATTGACTTGCTCGACAATTTGTATGTACGTCGCATCGCCATCTCGTTATGTCTGTAATATGAAGCTGTACGTAGTAGTCTGATCTTTCTTCTCGTCATCTGTTTCTGTTCGATAATCGATGTGTACGTTTAATAGGCATTTGGTCTTTTCATTGATTATGATGTATTGTTCGCATTTTGTTCGTCGTCATATCTGCCTGATGCCGAGACCGACGCGCATTCGTTTTTGTGTCTTGTTCCCCGTTCTTCTGTGTCGCTGTGTTATGACGATGATATTGCGTTGCGCAAGTTGCTCACTGTAATTCTCAGCACCCTCTTCGATGGGCACTTCATGTATGCCGGTAACAGTCGCTCGTCTACGATGTGTACGCGCCAGTGACACCACATGCCTTTCTAGAGAGACGTTTCCTTTCTCTGTTGTTCGCGCGCCTGTTTTCTTATGCTCCATTTTGTATATTCAGTCTGCCCGTCGGTGAACAAAACCAGCTTCGTTTCCGTTTCATCATCCGTTCCGTATCTTGTCTGATTCGCTTCGATCGACTTACAATCGACCCGACGGACCCATCGACCACCCTTCAGGCCAGATCAACCAACGACTGGGAGCTATTGGCGCGCAACGAAACAGCTGTCTATTTTTGTTCGGTTTTGTTTCACCCTTGATCCGTAATTAAGTGAATGTTACTTTTAACAGGTGACCCGTAAGTTTTGAAAGACGGGTGTTTTTCTCTGTTTTCCTCATTATTCGAGTTCCGGTACATGTTTGATTGTAAACCTTTGAAAGGTGGTACGTCGTCATTAGTTGGATACGCGTTGAGGACATTTGAAGATGGACTGTTCAAGCGCCGCATCTCAATTTTAGAGAAGAAATTGCTCGATCTGCTCCTTATCTTCAACCTCAGCTGTTACATCCTCGATGTGCTCAGTAATGGTTCTTTGGTCTTTCTTTCATTCCATCTTAAAAGCCGTTTTGTAGCATTGTGGACGTTGACTTGTAGTTATCACTTTTAGATTTACAACTTCTAGAAACGCATTGCGTCCATTTTATGTTGTTACTTCTCTGAAGTGTTATCATGAAAGGCAGGCCTTTTAGTTTTGTAGTTTCCGAGGAAGAACTTGATTTCTTATTCTCGGAATGATTACTACTGTATTATTAAATGTACCAGCCGTAATATACTGCTAAGTTCCTAATTCTGCTAGTTCTGTATTGTTTCGGATCATAAACTTTTGATTTCTTTCTTGTGTTGAATTTATTTTGTTTCGTAATATTAAGAATTAAAAGCTGCATATGTTTTGGATAAAACGATTGTGAAATTACCATTTAACCATGTGCAGCAATCGCCCTTGGTGCGACTTTTTTTGCTATCACATTTCTGCTTCATGTCGAAATCTGAGGCCAGTTCTGAAATTCATAGTCGGACCGACGGTGTTCAGAAAAAAGGCAGTAAACGGTATTTCGCCCTAAAATAGAATGATAATTCAATGCCAAAAATTCATGCATAGGGAGGCATATCACGTTTTTCTTCTATCAGCCGAAGAATATTAATGGACAGCAGTATGTGCATTATGAAAATCAAAATATCGCGTAATAAATTGGTAACGAATGCTCAGTTGTTACCGCGCCGTTGACTGTTACTGTTAAATGGTACCCAAGCAACTTGGAGTTGGCGATGGGACAATTCGCCGTTTAATGTTTGGTAAGTTACGAAATATCTAAGCCGCTGCAATATACGAATATCTTGTCATGTCTATAAACACAGTATGAGGCAAGCACATGCGGAGTACCAGGCCAAATCCATTGTTTTTAACGCGAGGTGCACTGCAGGTTCTCAGGCACCGTGATTTGTACCTCAATGGCTCAACTAGGAGCGGCAGGTGGTGTAACTCGTGAAATTTGGTCTGAGGCAGTTTTCTGATACGTGATAATTTGCGCATGAACATACTTTCAGTTCGAAATCACAAGGCTACTACTGACAATAACTCAATAACGAGAAGGTTACAGTAATGAAAAAAATGTTTTTAATAAATAATGTTTTCGGAATCAGAAACGGTCTTCTCGATTTTGAATACCTGATTTTTCAATATTGGTTGTGCTTACAATTAATCATGGTTTACTGGAAACTACCAATTAGCGCTTTTCTTGTGTTATAATGCTCTAATCTGGCAATACACCTTAAAATCTGTACAGTAATGTACTGACCCTTGCAGATCCTGAAATATCGCTAATAGCACGCAGTGTCTCTACTGAACGAAATATATTCGGCTGCTCAAATTCTTTGGAACCGAGCCAACTCTGCAACTTGAAACGAGGGGCAATTCAATACGCCGTGAATTCTGATTTTAGCCGAATCACGCAATTGTTATACGCAATAATTTTTTTCAAGTTTTATTTATTTCAGTTAGTTTCAGTTCTTTAGCGAGGTGTGCTTCCGTAGAATTCAGTTGTTCCTTGTTTGTGAAAGGACTTGTCTAACATTCACGTTTTAGCTAGCACATTTGATTCTGCACAAGGTATGCCAGCAGCTTTAGTCGATGTTTAATCTGACGTTGTTGCTTTGCATATCTACACATGTTTCGCATGGTACACACGTGCATATACCCATTCATACGTGACTTCTATCGACATATTGTGTTATTGCGATAATTCGACTGCTTTTCCACAGGCTTACCTTCTTTGTTACTTTGCCTAACGTAGGTCAGAGCTCTTGATGATACATACTTATATGTGTCGTTATAAAGTGAACGAACTATTTGCAGAAGAAATTTGAAGCGATTCGAGGCACTGGTGTAAGTCGAGATTTCGTAAATAAACTTTTTAAATAAGTACTTTGATACTGTTTGATTAATGATAAATCAGTCAAAACAGAACGGATTTGATCTCGACCAGGTTATGTTCACGACAATTTCAGAAACGATCCTAGGTGATTTTATGATAGTAGATCATCTATAGAAAGGGCTGTTCTTGGTGTCCTTTTTGCCCGCTTTGAATAACAAATGCTGCAGAAGGCTGGGTACTGACACTAAGGGTGCCAATCGGATGAGAGTTGATCGGATGTATGTTTATTTTCATTTTGTAGCGGGTTACTCCCAGAATTACGCTTCCTAATTTTTCGTATTTCTCAAGTATTTTTGTTTTCAAATTATTTTGTTTACCGGATTATGTGGTTTAAAATTTTGTTACGCCATGTCATAACACTACTTTTATTGTTTGTTCAGCTTTGAATATGCAAGCCATGCGTCTCCCGTTTGAGTTTTGTTGCAGTTTCCTTAATATCAATCGCATTAGATGCGCATGAATAATTACCGTACCTCACAATCGCTTTACGACAGCTACGGTAAATTCGCAACGACCAGATTCGTTCGCTTGTGATGTGTAGGTACTATTATCAGTACAGTTTATTCACCTCAGTAGCTGACCGCGGCCAAGCGAATTATAATGATGTGGTCATGTGTGCCATGATCTTCGCATATTAGGAGTCCATGAAGAGGCTGACGGTGCTGTGGTCGATTGGCGCACTTAGCGTTGTGTTCATAGCAGTTGGGATAGCTGTATTGCTGTCGATCCCGGTAAACGTTTTCCGGGGAGTGTCAGAGGTGAGTATTCTCGTTGGTAAGTTGCCTCTTTTCTAACTGCATCGGCGTAACCTCAGGCCGTGGTGCTCTCGAATGGCAGTGAAACGCTGCGCAAATGGGCCGATCCTCCGTACGACATGCTACTTCAGTTCTGGTTCTTCAATGTCACCAACCCAAGCGAGGTGTTGTTTAACGGCGCAAAGCCGGCTCTCGTTCAGTGCGGACCTTACAGCTACGTGTAAGTCAATCGAACGTTCTTTTGTCAGTCATGTGATAACGTGTGTCACCCGTTCAGGTGACATCCCGTCGTTTATGTAAAAGTATTTTTCTCTGTGGATCAAAGAGCCGGTTTTCTGTATTCAGTTCGACTGACTACGACCGACCATAGTTTTGTCAAGACTAACACTTAACTTGGCAAAAAACACCATTTCTAGAGTGTAACGGCGCAGAGATACCGCCATCTCGTGACGCTGTCCAATTTTGACATTGGTTTTTTTTTGTTTCCATAGTTTAATCGTCTGAAAAGAATTCCAATTCGGAAATTCCTAAAAACACGTAGAATCAAGGGCTGCAGCAATTTGCTTAATTGATTTGGAATAGCGACAACTTTGTGACAGCGGTGTTGCCTGTGTCACGAGGCAGCATTCCGTGAATAAAACGAAGAAAAAGCACAGGAGTGATGGTATGAGAAATGCAGAGGAATAAGCATCATTCATGCTATGAGAATGTCCACCAGTTTCCTCGCATGCTCATTCTCTTACTGTACGCATGTAATGCTTCAACAGGAGATGTGGTTATGCTGAAGGTTTCTTTTATCGAAGAGAACACTGCTGTATCGGTCAACAATATCTGCATAATCGAGGCCAAATAGATTCCTATCGATCAAAGGTCAAATGGCATTTAAACGCTTGAGTAAAGTCGGTCAGTCGGTCGTCCAGATCGCAGTAATAATCCTAAAACAGTAATTGCCATCTACTCCTTCGTGGCATGTCTGAAGAAACTTCGGTCTTGAACTGAACGTTTTTCGTAATTTATTCCATTTGCGCACTTCATTATTTTTATTTTCTTATTCAGTGATTGCTGAACATGTTTTTTCTGAAGTATTTAAGCAAATTTCAACTTAAATATGCTGTTAAATTGTGCATCGTATTTTCATCGCGGCGATTGGTATACTTTGTCGTTTCAGTCTGTGGAACCGTACGATGAATCTGTCAAAAGCCGATTGAGGGAGACCACTGCGAATATTCACAGCTAGCAAACACTATGAATGTTTTTTGTAACATCTCTTATATTCGTTAAGTGACTCCATGGCTCTGCTGATAGCTGTTATTTGCATGCTCTTGCCTGTTCGTCCGCAGGATGACGCTGCTCCTCCTACTGCATTTTTCCAAAAATTACATGTATTACGATCATTCCTGGACTGTCGATAATACTTGGAAGAGAAAAAAGTACCCTAACAAGTATCAATGTAGTTTTTCAATATGCGATATGCAAATGAATTTTCCTAACATTTGACTACTGTGAGACTGTGGCAAATGACTACCAGACTTTGGGCATACTTTCTCAGAAGGCTAAGGCTTCTTCATGCAACACATATTATGTAGATTTATAAAGTATCAGGCACAGGAACAGATGTATCCATATCCAGTCCCCATGACATGGGTGATAGTTTAAATTTCTGAGTATCAGCTGCTTCGAAATCATCTGAAATCACCCGTAGCACACGAAAATCATGAATGTATCTTCTGTGTATCCGGGTACTAGGAGTCGATTTGAGGAATTTCTTGTCGGCACTTGTGTCTCGATGAGTTCTCAAGATCTCCGGCAGAAGAGAGAAACCTGATTTTCAATAGCTTTTCATGAAGCAATAAGCATACAAATGGATTTGTTTTGTATTTAGATTTGTTACACGATTGCTGTGTCTAATTTGTGCTGCACAGTTTTGCGTTCATAGCAACAACCATTGCTGAAACAAATTATCGCGATTTATGGATGTGCGTTTCGTTTGTCATATGTGTACGTTTATGATGTTTAAGTTGCTTACATTTTAGAAACCGTCAACAGAAGCGGAACTTGAACTTCGCATCGAACAACACCGTGCAGTATAGGTTATTTCAGTCTTACCACTTCTCTGAGGAGCGGTCATGCAAAAGCTGTCGCGAAACGGATCTGATCCTCGTACCACATGTGCCTTACTGGGTAATGTTATGTACTCTATTCCTTATTGCCTTATACAATGAAGCTTTCTTTTGTTTCAGTCAGTTGTTCACAGACTGAGGAACTCGCCGATCAAGAAGACGATAAAACGTCTGGCAGATATGGGTTTAACGGCTATCGGCGAGGAGCCGTTCACGACGCAGACGGTTGCTTTGCTGCTTTTCAAAGGCTACGAAGATCCGGTGTTCAAATTAGGCAACATGATTAGCTGGTTGTTTCCAAACACTTATATACCGCTGAAGATGGGTTTCTTCTATGGCAAGAATGCGACGCTCGATGAGCCAGTGTCTGTCAGAACCGGCATCGGTGATTTCAGCCGAGTCGGTCAGATCGTCAGTGTCAACGGCAATACGTCAGTAAACTTCTGGCGAGACCGTTGGAGCAATATGATCAACGGAACAGGTGGGTGCATCACTGACGATGTGCATTGTATTTACAGCAGGTCTGTTAGGATGCCAGGGAAGTTCGATGCACAACGCAAAAACTTTAATGATGCGTGACGCAGTGCAGGTGGTATATGGGGGTGATAAACCCATAGATACAAAGGTTTTGGTTATATCTCACCGGTATGCACTAGGGTACGGTTGACGGTTGTTTATGACGATGTATGTGTCGACATCAGCCGATTCGTGTGGAGCCAGAGAGCTGTATGCCAAAATGCCAAAAAGATAATGTTGTATCACTCCATTGACCATACGTACTGCACTGCGCTGTGTATGTATAAATCCTGTTTGAGCTGTTTTATCACGATTATAGCGCACGAACGAAAATATTCATTCTGCGTCGTGTTTAAACTCCGACTACTTAGGGCGCCCGTAATAAAACAGAAAAAAGCGAAAGGGCAACAACTGTTTTAATTTCGGTCTTCTTCACAATTAGTTGTTGATAGCCGTTTATTGCACTCATGTTTCGCGCAATTCTGGTTGCGGCGCTTTTCTTCGCTTAGACTTCATCAACCTGCAGGAGTAACAGCAGTTTTATTATCACCACGGCAAGCAGGTAGTTTTATGCCTCACACATATTTTGTCATTCTGAATCGCAGTTCTCCGTTCAAACGCTAAAAGACACAATGAATGCTTTTGCGTATATCTTCTGTTTTAAAGACAGTACAATCTGGGGGCCTAATTCTTTTTTTCTCTTTGCCCATAATAGCAGTTATCCTGTTCATTTGTCTGCTCGTAAGACTGAAAGACGAATGATCTAGTTAGAACTGGAACTCGATTTTTCGATAGAAGGTTAGGCTCCTGGCCAGGTGAGCTACCCTAAAAAATTTTCCCCTGATTAAATGATTGTAGTCACACAATAGGTTAAAGGGACGAATTACATTGTCGTCGCTTCGAAGTATTGATGCTCTGATAACACAGTTTCAGTTTCGTCCGAAAGGTCCGGTATTCGATTAAAAAAAAAGCCGTTAGCTGCTTTCTGGGTGTGTGTTCGGATATCAAATGTACATTAACCTGGTTTCTACTCATGCTCGTATGGCATAAATTCTTTTTGACTGTTATTCCTACAATAGAGGGACAAAAGAAAATTTTTTTTATTAGAAATGAATCTAATGCTTTCGAATCAATGAATTCCTGGTTACTCGTACCAGTGTTCTTCTTCATATCCGCTTATGGAAAAGCAGAGCAAATTTTAATCAAAAATAGATATTAAAAAATCTGAAATATTTCATGCCACAG